TCTCCAAAAAGCGCTTGTCATCAGAACTGAAATTGGCGACAGAAAAGGAGAGGCGACTGACTACGGAAACCTAGGTACTGTGTTTGAGTTGCTCAACCAATACGACAAGGCTAAAGAGTATCTCCAAAAAGCGCTTGTCATCACAACTGAAATTGGCGACAGAAATGGGGAAGCATCATGTTATGGAAACCTAGGTGCTGTGTTTCTGTCGCTCAACCAATACGACGAGGCTAAAGAGTATCTCCAAAAAGCGCTTGTCATCAGAACTGAAATTGGCGACAGAAGAGGAGAAGCGACTGACTACGGAAACCTAGGTAATTTGTTTGAGTCGACTGGGCAATACGACAAGGCTAGAGAGTATCTTCAGAAAGCGCTTGACATCACAACTGAAATTGGCGACAGAGATGGGGAAGCATCATGTTATGGAAACCTAGGTAATTTGTTTAATTCGATCACCCAATACGATGAGGCTAAAGAGTATCTCCAAAAAGCGCTTGTCATCAGAACTGAAATTGGCGACAGAGGAGGAGAAGCGACTGACTACGGAAACCTAGGTAATTTGTTTGGGTCGATTGGGCAATACGACAAGGCTAAAAAGTATCACCAAAAAGCGCTTGTCATCAATACTCAGATTGGCGACAGAAAAGGGAAAGCATCATGTTACGGAAACCTAGGTAATGTGTTTCTGTCGCTCGGGCAATACGATGAAGCTAGAGAACATTTCCAAGAAGCACTTGCCATCACAACTGAAATTGGCGATAAGGCGGGGGAAGCAGCAGATCTTTCAAACCTTGGAAGTTTGTCTCTAACTGTTGGAGATTATGAAGCTTCAAAAGTATGGTTGGAGAAAGCTTTATTCATATCAAGAGATATTGGAGATCGAGGGAGAGAGTTCGAAATCCTTAAAGATTATGCCCTTTTGTATTTATGTCAAAATGAAATCAAAGACGCCCTTTCGTTTCTTCATCTATGCATTGAAAAGTATGATAAGCTGAGATATTTCTTGGGCGCCAGTGATCGGTTCAAAACATCATTTCTGGAGCACTCAGGAATATTTCCTTACAAGCTGCTTAGTACTCTGCTTTGTGACACCGGAAATGCTCGGAATGCTCTGTATGTTGAGGAGTTGGGTCGAGCTAGAGGCCTATCAGACTTGATGGCAGAGAAGTATTCGGTTGAAACGCACATCTCTGCTAATCCACAGTCTTGGTCTGGCATTGAGAACATTTTAAGAAAGAAAAATAACTGTACTTGTCTGTACATTTCTTATTTTAGGAATCATCTGCATTTGTGGATCTTGAAAACAACTGGAGTCCTTCACTGTAGAAAAATATCACCAAAAGAGAATCTAGTTCAGGCTGGGTTGCCCAAAGATTTGTCTTTGAGTCAATTTTTGGATGATAATTTCCGGAGTCTTGGTATTTTGCCCACCAAAGATTGTGAAGATCGGTCTTTAAATACGATTAAATTGCAACCTCTCTCCCCCGCACAAAAGAGCTCAGCAAGATTGCGACTCCTGGAGGAGGACGAGGACAAGGACAAGGACAAGGACAAGGAAGTCATTTCAAGTCTATCTTTGTGTTACAAAATGTTTATTGCTCCCGTTTATGATTTGCTTGAGGAGCCTGAAGTCATCATCGTTCCTGACCGCAGATTGTACAAAGTTCCCTTTGCTGCACTGAGTGAAAAGGAGGGAGCCGAATACCTCTCGGAGACTCATAGGATCCGTGTCATTCCATCTTTGACAACACTCAAGATGATTCAAGATAGTCCAGAGGACTATCACAGCAACACTGGTGCCTTGATAATAGGCAATCCCAAGGTTTATTGGCTGCCGCCATTGCCAGGTGCAAGAAAGGAAGCGGAGATGGTCGGACGGCTATTGGGTGTTCCGCCTCTGGTTGAAGAGGAAGCAACGAAGCAGGCGGTACTTGAGCGGATAAGTTCAGTGAGCCTGATACATTTTGCTGCCCATGGTAGTGCCGAAAGAGGAGAAATTGCCCTCTCCTCCATTCCTACTCCCAATAATCAAAACGCTATCCCACCCCCGGAAGCCCACATGTTGACGATGGCTGATGTCTCACGAGTGAAAGTTAGAGCTAAACTGGTGG